CTTTGGAAGATCAAACCCACTGTAAGTTATTTTAAAGTATTTGGTTGTACATGTTATGTGCTTGTTCTAAAAAATTTGCACAACAAACTAGAGAAAAAGATGGTATGGTGCATATTTGTGGGATATGACACTGAAAGGAAAGGGTGGGAATGTTGTGACCTTACAACCAATCGATGATACACATCATGGGATGTGCTATTCGACAAATCATCATCTTGGTGGATTTCAAAAACTGCAAAAGTATCTTATACTGGAGACGAACAAAAACCGAAGATCGAGGAGACTCTATAAGGAGCGCATGAGGAACAAAACCCTGAGAACGCTCCATAGCCAACCAATCATACCAAGAATATCTTCCAACCCATGGAGAGATGGTGTACACCAGACAAGGACTCCTGAGGAGGCTCGACCAAGTCAACTAGAAGAAGTCACTAAAGAGCCTCAATTGCGACGCTCAAGTAGAGTAAGAAGAGCAATTCTCAACTATGTGGATGTTGCCCTGGCCTAGGTAGATGATATATGACAACCGACCTCATACGAAAAAGCCTGTCAAAGTGCAGAATGGCAAAAAGTTATGGAGGAAGAAATCTTTGCACGAGAGAAAAATCAGACATGGGATCTAGTTCCTAAGCCGAAGGAGGTTAAGCCCATCTCTTATCGATAGGTATACAAAGTAAAGACTCTTGCCAATGGGTTGATCGAAAGATATAAAGCCAGACTAGTCGCCTATGATTTTTCACAATAATATGGGATCAACTATTAGGAGAATTTCAGTTTTGTGGCCAAAATCACGATAGTACATGTACTGCTTGCATTGGCAACCAGCAATTCATGGAAATTATGGCAAATAGATGTAAAGAACGCTTTTCTTCATGGAGAGGTTGATAGAGATATATATATATGGAGCAGCCGAAAGGTTTTGAAAGCAGGGATCGACCAAACTATGTTTGCAAGCTAAAGAAGACTCTATATGGACTAAAGCAAGCACTAAGGGCCTAGTATGGCAAGATTGTTGAGTTCCTATTGCAAAATGGATACTCAATCACACCTGCAGACTCAAGCTTGTTTGTAAAAGTCAAAGATGACCGATTATCTATTATACTTGTTTATGTTGATAATCTGATTATTGCAGGGGATGACACTGAGGAAATCTACTGCACAAAGAAGAATATGTCAGTTAGATTTCAGATGAAGGAACTTGCAGAGCTCAAAGATTTAAGATGAAGGAGCTTGGAGAGCTCAAACATTTTTTGGGTATCGAAATTGATCAAGTCAAGGAAAGACTCTTCTTGTATCAGCAGAAATACACTAGAGATGTATTACAAAAGTACGGAATGGTCAACTGCACACCAATGAAAACAAACGTGAAGCTAAGTGTAGATGACATAGAAGATCGCAAATACCTAGCCATATATAGACAGATTGTCGGCAGCTTGATCTATCTGACATTGACTAGGCTTGATATGGCACATGCAGTCGGAGTAGTCAATCAATTCATGCAGAATCCAAGGAAGCCTCATCTAGAGGCCATTCACATAATCTTGCGATACATCAAAAGTACTGCTGACTATGGTTTGTTATATAAGAAGGAACAATGCGGGCTGACTAGGTATTGTGATGTCGATTTTGCTGGTAATCAAATGACTCATCGATCTACCACTAGATATTCTTTCAGTCTCGGATCAACAACAGTCTCTTGGTGTAGTAAGAGACAAACCATTGTTTCCTTGCGATACATCAAAAGTACTGCTGACTATGGTTTGTTATATAAGAAGGAACAATGCGGGCTGACTAGGTATTGTGATGTCGATTTTGCTGGTAATCAAACGACTCATCGATCTACCACTAGATATTCTTTCAGTCTCGGATCGACAACAGTCTCTTGGTGTAGTAAGAGACAAACCATTGTTTCCTTGTCGAACACAGAAGCAAAATATGGATTAGCAATAATGGATGCACAGGAATTCACCTGGCTAACACTATTATTGGAAAATTTGCATCAGCCCATTGAGAAACCAATGTCACTTTTCTGCGACAATCTATCAACCATTCGACTGGCTAAAAACCCCGTCATCCATGCAAAGACAAAGAACATTAAAATGCATCATCATTACATACGAGAGAAGGTTCTAAATGAAGAACTTACACTCGTTCCAATCAAAACTGAGGAACAAGTTACCGATATATTTACAAAAAAGCTTGATGTTGTAAAATTTACCAAACACAAAGAACAACTCAGCATGATTAGAAGAGAGAAAAACAATACCATGGAAGTTGGAGCAACTCAGTGTTGAGGGGGAGAATTGTTAAAAGCAACACGTAGTTGCTCATTAATCATCTCTCTCTCTCTCGTTCCTTCTTAAGAGGCGGTGCATAAACCGCCATAGGAAATAATCGATGGGAATATTGCTATTTTTAGCATTATGGAATGACAATCCAAATGAATATAAAAGGGCTAGAGGAACGAAGGTATGGTGGTGTGTTAGGTTGGGAATGTAAGTGTTAAGGGTTTGAGTAGTAACGGGTTGAGTGTGTAAGTTTTTTGAAGAGTGTGTTTTTCTGGTAGCTAAGTGTTAAAAATATATTGTAATATTTCTTTTAATAATAAAAGTCAGTATTTTTCATTTTTCTCTCTTCATTATCGTGTCAGATTTTACAATTGATATCAGAGCTTCCTCAAAACCCTACAGATACAACACTTTAGAGAGAGAGAATGAATGGGTGAAAGGAAAAGGAAGCTCTAAGAAAGAGAGGTAGAGAGAAAAAGAAGATTTCGAGATCTTACCTCTTTTTCCATTTCAAATTCAGGGACTAATTAAGGCAAGCTTTCATTGCTGCTACGAATTGCTCTGTATTTGTTTTATTGATTGATTCAAAAATTCAGAAAAATATAAGGGTGGCTATGAGTTGGGTTTCTTGGCCCCGTCGGTCTGACCCTAAAAAACTAGGGCTTGGCAACAAATTGTGGTTGCCAAGCCGGGCCACAATGGCCCGAGGTACTGGATGGGACGGGCCAGCGCAAGGCCATGACAGGGCTGGCCCGCCCTTCGTTTTTATTTACTCTCTCTTTTTATTTTTATTTTTTATTGTTTCTAGCCCAACTTGACCTTGTGAGGACTAGGGTCAGGCATGGGCCATGGCCTCTTGGGCCAGGCCAGGTTGGGCCAAGACTATAGGGAGTAGGAGCTAGACCAGGGCTGGCCTAGCTCGGCCTAGGGTTGTGAGCCCTAACAAAATACTATGCTCTTTGTGCGTTTTCATCCATTCACGAATTTAAGAGACCTTTTTTCTGGTCAACTTTTTAAGTAAAACAATGTTTGTTTGTTTAAGCTCCTATTTTCACAGTTGTCCACGTTTGTTCGCATGAAAAAGAGTAGAAACCTCATTTAATCACAATAAGTAACATGAAAGGAATATCATATCCTAAAAAGTCCAGAAAATATTCCCTCACATGTTTTTATTAAATAAGGTTAAAGGGGTTAGGGTTGTAGTGGTAGCACCTCTACACTCTAATCACCACGTTGTTGTTTTCATTTCCATGGACACCACCTCACTAACACCTTCAAAAACCTAGCTCCTAAACTATTTGAAAAAACGGATAGTGGCCTGTCATCCCCACTGAATTACCCAAAAAAAAAAAAAAGTCTCAAATAGTGAATCACCAACCATGAATTTTAATTAATAATCTTCAGTACTTGTATTTCACTTCTATTAGTTAACAAGATCACATAATCAAAGGTCGTTTGAACATTCCAACCATGATCTTAGGTCACCAAGCATGGAGCTCAGACAATTAACTAGACCACAAGCCAACCCACTTTGGGTAATGAGCTCTAGAAAGCAACCAATTCCCTGAGTTAAGCAATGCCTCAAGCTCATAGAATTTTGGGAACCAATTCCCATATTCAAGAACCACTTTTAGCTCTATGGCATACCTACATAAGGATTCACACAGTCCATACTCATCGAGATCTTGAACTTAGTTGGATTAGTCACTAGATTCTCACTAAGAAACTCGACTCTGCCAAGGACGAGAAGACTCACCCGAGTCTTGTACTGAGCCAAAAAGCCCTAGAAAAAGATTGCAGTTTAACCTGGAATTCAATATTATAATTAAAAATTAAAATCTTTCAAGTTAACCAAAATATCTTAAGCGCTTAATTCGTATTTTTTTTGGGATTATATACGATATTACTATTTATTTTTATTACATGGAGGTCACAATCAATTCTAGTCATTGGATATGAAACTGGACACTTTAGGTGTGTCACAAAGTATAAAAAAATCTATTTTGGACTTTGTATCCATTCAGTGATATACCCTCAGCTACTTAATTTCACATTTATAGATCGACAAGATCTGTGACCTCCGTAAAAAGTCTTATTGTATACTTTTCTTTGGACTGTAGATGTAACCATAGATGTTGTGATTGCTACATTAAACATATTAAATTAGGTGTTGGGACCTTGTCCCTTAGGCTGCAGCTTAGCGGTAGATATACTGGTTTGGGTAAGAGAGTTCAATAGCCTTAACTTAAAATATTTTATAATAAAAAAAAAAGTGATTTTCCTTCGGACCTTAAATTTTAGGTAAAACATAAAATCCTTCGCTTATAAAAACATAAAATCCTTCGCTTATAAGTGGAAATTATAAAGAAGGTCGGTCAACTCGTTTTTTTTTTTTTTTCAAAATTGGCTATCGATCAACCCGAATTTTGAATTTTTTTGTTAGATTGTTTTAGTGTTTTTTGTTAGTAAGGCAATGCCTTAAAACTTGGGGTACTGGCCTACTAACAAAAATAATCAAAAAATCAAAATTCCGGTTGATCGAGGGTTAATTTTGAAAAAAAATTAAAAAGGCAAGTTTCACCGATCGGCTTTGAAAATTTGACATATAAATGAGGTATTTTACATTTTACCTAAAATTTTGAGATCCGTACGTAAATCACTCAAAAAAAAAAAGAAAAGAGAGAGAACATTTTAACTCTTGCAGTTTGTCCCTAAAAGCCCAAACTAAACTTATTCTATTATTTAGGTATTGGTATATTAAATCATATTACATAGGTCTTAAGCACATTCTTATTACCAGTCTACATTATTTCTGACGTGTGAAAGCTTAAGAGTTGAGAGAAATGGCCCTTCTTGGCCTTAAGATATGCAGGGGTCCCTTGCTCTACCACCTTTCCGTCTGCTACAAAGGCAATGGTGTCCACCTTGTCAATGGTGTTGAGGCGATGGGTCACGACCAGGCATGTCTTTCCCTTCATCACGGTTTCGAGTGCGATGTTCACAGTGTGCTCCGATTGTGCGTCGAGGGCGCTGGTGGCCTCGTCTAGCAACAGAATTCTTGGATTTCTGAGGATGGCTCTGGCGATGCCTATCCTTTGTTTCTGGCCTCCTGATAGTTGAATTCCTCTCTCCCCACACTCAGTTAGGTACCCATCCTTGAGTGACCTGTTGAGAAGAGATGAATAATTTGAGAGAAAGAGAGAGAGAAGCCTTTTATAATTTCTTTTTCATTTTCTGTAGTGGTGCCTAGCCTTTGATTTAAGAGATGGTGCTCAATTTGAGGGAGTGTTACTCTTACCATCAAATTGGCAAGACACTTGCATAGGTCTTGCTTGAGAGGGAGAGGCTTTTAATCTAGAGAAAGCTATACATGGGACTTCGCCCATATTTTAAGTATATGTAACCTTTGCTCTCAGCCGTTAGATCTGAGTAGATGGCATAGATGGCTTGAGTCACGGTGTCACAAGTTCACTCTTGTCAAATCTTAATCGGAGGGCTCATAATGGTTTATTTTTACTTTTTTATTTTATAAATTATTTTTGCAGTGAAATTTAGGGTATGCATACATTTGAAGTGTAAATGTTAAAATAGTAAAAAAATATTTCCTATGATAAAAAATTATCAAAATATCTCTTAAACTTTCAAATATAATTTTGTCATGAAGATTTTTTATTATTATTATGGGTCATTCTCTTCGAGAGAATGAAAACGACCTAGGGACAGAGTGTTGAATATTTGCTTACTAGCTATCCTTGTGTGCAGAAAGGGAGATACACACGGTTAGAAGACTTTGAGGGAGATCACAATTAGTATAAGTGAGGGTAACTCCATTGAGGTTCTGAAGCTAGGGCCGGCAATGGGTCAGGTGGAGTGAAACGGGCGAGTCGGTCTGGTTCTAAAAAACTATGGCCTAGGTACAAGATATGGTTTGAGAGGTAGGGCTAGGCCACCATAGCCCAAGGGCTTAGTCAGGGCCACAGCTGGTCCGGCCTTACTTTCCCTTCTTTTTTTAAATCTAAGAGATTTAGCATTCCCCATCACGCTCCAAGGCCCCTGTGTCCTGGTCTGGGCCGAACATGGCCCAGACCCGTCTTATTGGGAGCTATTTTAGTAAATAGAGATTTTTCTTTTTATTTTTATTTTTGCTGAGATTATTCATGGGTTGTGGAGACTACATCTCCCAAATTTTTTAGATCTAAAAAGTATCCCTAACATGTATTTTACTCAGAGGGAAATAGATAATATACTTCTATGGGGGTAAATAAGCATTCTCTCTCTTCTCTGGTTCTCCAGGCTCTTCTTTTTTATGTGTTGTCATTGATAGATAGATGAGCAATTGCATAAAACAAAAGGGGGCCACCTATGCTCATTGTAATTTTGGGATAAAATGTTCCCATACGGCAATAAAAAGGTTGAAATACTGTCCGTTAGTAAATTTCTCAAAAAATAAAGTATGGGCAAGTATCGCCTAAAAGATAAATTAAAAAAGACCCCAAAACGAGCTTTCCAGACATGTCACCCCCCAACACTATCGATATTACACCACTAACCTCAAGATGTGTTTTGTCTTCCACGCAAAAGTTACCATTTTTTTTTAACAAAAATCAACTCTTTAGAGTAGGTTTTCCTCTTTTGTTTTATTTGAAGTTGGTCCTACACACATTATGCCTGACTGGCATATATATTAATGGAGTCAATCTAGCATAACCCTTTCTAAAATACGTTTTTTTTTTCCTATCAAAGTCAGACCAGTATAAATGTGTGTTGGACCGGCTCCCAAACCCTATTAAATCCAGTCCGAAACATATTGTACTAGACTAACTTCGTTGCGGGTCGGTCCAATCTACATATATGCTGAACTTGCTTGAATAGGGAGGGGAAAAAAAAAAACATACCTTAAAGAGGGTTTTGTTTTGGGGGACATGCCTAGAAAGGGTCTAAGGGATATCTAAAATTTTCCCTAATTAAAACTGAAGAGAGGGAGGGAGGGAGAGAGAGAGACTGACGATATGAATTCGTGCGCCCTAGCAGCCTTTGCAGCCTCCACCACCTCGCTCTCACTTGCACTTGCACCTGCACCTGCACCTGCACCTGCCTTCCCAAACTGAATATTGTCCTTTATACTCCCTGAGAATATGACTGCCTCTTGCCCCACCATCCCCACTCTCTCTCTAAACCACCTCAAATCCATCTCTCTAACATCCACCCCATCAACCCTTATAACCCCTCTTTGAACATCATAAAACCTCTGAACCAACCCTACAACTGTAGACTTCCCACACCCACTCCTCCCAACTAACCCTAACCATGTCCCTCCCTTTACTCTCACACTAAAACCATTCAAAACCAAGACCCTAGGCCTGCTTGGATAAGCAAACTCCACATCTCTCATCTCAATTTCACCATTGAATCTATTCAATTTCAACCCACCATCCCCTTTTATGAGAGTTTCTCTCTCAAGGATTTGGAACACAGAGGTGAGTGAAGTTGCACCCCTTGCTAGGTCACTTGTCATGCTTCCGGCCTCTGCAATGACCTTACCTGTGCTAACCAATATGAAGAAGGTCTTGAACACATCACCAGCTGATATACTTCCTCTCTCTACGAGTTTTCCCCCATACCAGAAGTCCAAAGCCCATGACATGAAGGTTAGGCACTGTGCAGTCCCCATGCCTATTCCTGCCATCCATGACTTTCTCACACTAGCTTTCATTGGTTTTTCTAGGGTTTCCTTGAATACCCTCATCACCATTTTATTGCATGAGAAGGACGTGATGATCCTGTGGTTGGATACAGCCTCCGACGCTATGTTCGAGCTCTCGCTCTGAGCTTTAATGGAGTTTGATGAGAGCCTGGATAACAAGACCTTCCTGGTATAGAAACACGAAATTGTTAATGGTTGAACTGCTATGATAACCAGTGCTAGTCTCCAGGCAATGACTAGGCCCATCACCATGGATATGGTGACTGCTGAAACAGTTTGAACTAAGAGAGAGACTCTATCAGCAATTAGGGTTTTCATAACGGAGGCCTCGGAGCCAAGACGAGCACAAATCGCAGGGCCTGAGTTCCGATCTTCATCGAACCATGCGACCTCAAACGAGAGGATCTTATCGAGCATTCGAAGGCGAATCCTTCTAGTGAGAGACTCTCCCATGCACCCAAAATTGTAATGTTGGGATAGATTCACCACAAAAGAGGCTATAGAAAGAGAAAGGAATATGAAACAATAAGTCTTTATCCTTCCCTCCATCTCTTCATGGCTTTGGGTGAAGAAAGCTGAGATCATTGCTCCTATTGTGAGTGCATACACAGGCTGAATTGCACCAAATATAGTTGCAGAGACAATACCCATTAGAGATTTTATCAATTCATATTTATTGAGCATGGAAGCAAGCCTATAAAAAGAAGGGGTCTTCATGGGAGGTAGATCTGCTGATGTTTTAAAGGATGGGGTCTTATGAAAGGTGTAAGGGCTTGATTTTTGAAAGCTTTGCCTTCTTCCACTGCTTTTTCTTGCAGGAAAACTTGAACTTTCATTTGGGTCTTGAGCATCAGGGTTGAATTGGGCTTGTTGCAGAGAGAGAAAGTGAGAATAGAGGCTGTTTTCTTTGTTTATGAGCTCTTTGTGAGAACCTTTCTCAATGATGTGGCCATTTTCCATGACTGCAATTTGGTGGGCATTTCTAATGGTGGAGAGCCTGTGGGCTATGGTTAGGGTTGTTCTCCCCATTGAGGCCTGATCAAGGGCATTTTGGACAATTTGCTCCGATTCCGAGTCGAGGGCACTTGTGGCTTCATCCAGGAGGAGGATGGGTGGGTTTTTGATGATTGCTCTTGCTATGGCTATGCGTTGCTTTTGGCCTCCTGATAGCTGAGATCCTCTATGCCCAACCTGCATATGGAATCTCCTATTCATAATTTTGTTTTAATTGATCAAAACCTGAGAATTTTTTTTTAAGTGAGAAAAAATCTGCATAATCAATAGTGAGATTGAGGCCATAGAGTGCATTTTAGAAAGATCTTATTCAATAGTTCCAAGGCATTCGAACACCGGACGACCTCGAACTAAAGAGTTTCCCGGTATCAACACTACCGGACAACAACTTAATAAAAGAGCTAACTGTGTGGTAATTCGCACCCCAAACAACACTTGGTGATTGTGGAAAGAATAAGCCTCCTGTCCTATGTTGTCATTGCCGAACAAGAGGCAACTAGATAAAAAAAAAAAACCCTGTAAGGGGGAGGCACTCGTAATATTGGGCAACAATATCACAAAATGGTAATAAGGGCCCTCCAATAGTGTCTGTACGTAATTTGCTCTTAAAACAATAGTGTTTGGAAAATCAATGAGTTTGACTCGAGCTCCTCTAAGAGAACCTGACAACTAGCGGACCCTGACTTATGGCTAGCAATGGGCTGGTTGGCCTAGCTCGACCTGGTTTGGGCAACTCTAGAAAAAATTAGGACTTGGTCCATAAAATGTAGCCCGAGGGTGCCAGGGGCCTCCACCATAGCCCAAGGGCAGGGCCATCTGTGGCTAGCCTAGTTCGCCCGTCCTGGCCCTTTTTCTCTTATTGTTCTTATTTTGTTTACTTTAAATGAATTTGGCTTAGCCCAACCCTAAGAAGGCTAGGGCCAGGCCTAGGCCAAGGCCATTTTGTCCTGCCAAGGCGGGCCCTATGTGGACTAGGGCAAGGCTAGGGCCAGGCCCGACCTATTGCCACCCATACTCAGACAAACAATACTAGCTTGATCTTGACCGATTTGGTCCAATTATAGGTCTCTAAAAGAAGCATTGAGTCTAAAAATTGCCCCCTGCTCCATTTTGTGCTCAGTTTTTCGAAACAATGTAAAACATATATGAACTAGAAAGAGAGAAAATAACCTCACATTTTTTTTTTCTTTTTTTTTTTTGAGCCAGGGAAATAACCTCACGATTGAAACACACACTTGAATTTAGATAGATAAACTATGATTTGGACACCATATTTATGGTTTTTGGACATGTTCTCCCATCAAAGACATAACATGATGCTCGTGTGGATACTTGAAAAGCTTAAATACTTCCACATTTTAAAATTCTCAAATATAATTATTTTTACGTAACCTTTCGAATAAAAATTACTCAAAAATCCCCTTTCTTTATGTGAATAATGTACGGATGTGTCATGTCTGAAAACTAAGCTATTCTAACTGGCCTCTATAAGTCATGGATTTCAAGACTGCCCAATATCATATTTCTGCCAATAAAACGGCCATCTCCTGATGCATGTGGTAAATGCTCCTACAAAACTCACACATAATACAGATTAATTATGCAAATATTATGAAAACCATTATGTACCTTTGTCTCGTACCCCTCGGGAAGCTGAATAATGAATCCATGAGCATTTGCAGTCATGGCTGCAGCAATTACTTCCTCCATGGTTGCATCAGCCTTTCCAAACATTATATTTTCTCTGATACTAGTCCCAAACAATGCATGGTCTTGGCTCACCAAACCCATATTTCCCCTTAACCATTTCAACTGTAAGTCTCTGATGCACACTCCATCAATCCTCACTTCTCCCTCTAAAACATCGTAAAACCTTTGCAAGATTGAAATTAAGGTTGATTTTCCACACCCACTTCGACCAACTAGAGCCAGGTTTTGGCCAGCTTGGACTGAGAGATCGAAATTCTTTAGACATATAGAATCAGGCCTTGAAGGATAGGCAAATGTAATTTTTCGAAATTCAATATTTCCTTGGATCTTTTCAGGCATTATTCCTTTTTCTTCTTCGGTGTCGATCTCGGGAACTCGGTCTATCCTTTTGAAGATTCTTGCTGCTGCAATTGAGGCTTCTGTGAAGTGTTTTACTTCTGGGAGAGCAATTCCTAGAGATCTGTAGCAACAAAACGGACACCATAAGGTTGATCAAACATAATGTATCTTTGAGATGTGTTTTACATCTTGAGAGAAAAATGTATATTTGCTTCCTCAGGCATCAGACTAGCTAGGAGAATTTTCAAGAACCCAAATTCTAGGGTATGTCACATCATTTGCCCAAGAGAGTAAATGGAATTTTTGCTCCGAATGGTGCATAGCATACGGGCCTAAAAGACTATCTAAGCAACCATAAGCACCACAGCAACTTACAATCCACCAAGAATAAATGTGATCCCTGCTGCCCATATTCGACCACCACTCTCGCCTCGATGCATGGCCAGTCTGCTTCCATACCACGCTAAGAATGCCCATATTGCGAAAGAAATGCCAGTGCTCCCGACCGCCAGGCCTTTTGCTAGTCCCTGCTTCATGCCAAGCTTCACTGTTCTCTCTAAAATGGTGGAATACTTGTCTATTATTGTTCTCTCAGCTGTGAATGCATAAATTGTTCTTATGGAACCAAGGGCCTGCTCAACTATGCTACTGGCTTTGTTGTATTCTTCATAGGATTTATTGGACATATATAGAAGATATTTCCCATATATTAGACCAGGAATGATTAGGAGAGGGAGAAAAGGGAAAGCCAAAATTGCCAATCTCCATGAGAAGTAAGTGCAAAAGCCTATGCCTGATATGAACACAGATGTGTGCATCAAAAAGGTGGGTACCTGAAAGAAACATTAGCTTTAGGAAAATGAAATAGAGCCAAAACAAATAGTTCTAAAAATTAGCACTCATATATTCTCTAACACAACAAAGTGACAAACACATTTAACCTTTGTTTTCTTTTCTTTTTTTTCAACTCACTACAAACACTAGATTATTTTCTTATTATTGCTAAAGCATTTGTAGGGATTGTTTTAGGCTCTCAACATTAGATCACTATCTCAAAGTTGTATTTGATTATGATGCATTTAATTTAGAACAGTCCATATTACTACATCTTGTGGCTTTTAAGCAACTAAGTGAAATATTTCCAAGGCACTTAATATCAAATGGTAACAGGCTTTTAAAAATTCTCAATCTGAGTCCTTTGGGAGTTTACTACATGGGTTTGTTGTATACTCTTTCATATGATAGGGTAGGGTTTGTTGGAAAATGGGTAAAAATGAATAGTTATCTGAATATTGAGAAATAAATAATCCAAAAAATTACTTTCTCACTGAGAACTTCTTGTATGAGAGAAGTATCTTTCGAGAGGCTATCGATGATCTCCGATGCGGTGGTCTCCTGTGAATCGAAGTATCCAACTTCTTGCCGGAGAATGGCTTCCAAGTACTTGTACCGAATCCGCATCACCTGCCTCTCACTAGTCCTACTCCAACAATAACCTTCTGCAAAATTTTCATTAATTTCAATCACTATTGTATTGTAATGAGAGCCTCATGTCACCGACATGCTCTCCAATTCTACATTGAATTGGCCAATCAGCTCAACCGACTCGCCAAATTTAAAAATAGAAAAAAAAAAATGTAATCAATGTTTAAAAACTTTAAACAAAGTTAGGATCCTCAATCATTCTCAAAACAGCAATTTTGTTACATTAACACATTATTTACTATGTTTTTGGGGTGATTTTGTCTAAGTCCCGATTTAGCAAGGGACTCTTACTTGTGAACCAAGAAAATCGGGCTGTTTGTCCCTTTTTTCAAAAAACTAGGTTTGACAGTTGAATGCCTAGAATGTACATGTATATGGTATATGGAATCAGCATAGGGATTGTCTACAAAGAGACTATTTACATTTTATAGAAGGAGGTCTCAATCATTCTTGTCTCTTAGATTTCAAAATGGATGGTTATAAGAGTGTAGTGATTAGAAACAAAATTTCCAAAAAATATTCTCGGTTTGTTTGACTCACTCCAAACCATCCAATTTGACATCTAATAAGTGAAAATAACTATGAGCTCCTTGTACAATAAATAAAAAGTCCCTTAATTGACAATCCCAAATATCATAATAAGGAAATGAAAAAGTTTAAGACTTGAATCTGATATTAAGAAGAGGCCAATGATATCAAATAAGGGGAAAGGTAGACATGTTATTCCAAAATCATAAGGCTATATACTGTGATGCATTCCGGCTTATAGACAGTAAACTGCATGTCACATCAACCGGTGAATCGGTGCCTTCGATGGTGATGCCGTCACAGAAGAATGGTCATTGCAGCTGTCGGGTTTTTAAAGTAAACGGATGATGTGACATGAAGTTTTATTGTTTGGAAACTACACATTACTGTAAAGCCCTTTATCAAAGCCTTATAGTATAATATGCCAGATATCAAAGGCCAGTAAAAGAAATGATAAAGCAATAATTAAGAATGAATGGATAAGAAGAATGACTGATAGACAATTACATGAATTTCAGGCTTTTAGAAAGATCGTGCCTTTTCCTTTGATTTGTCAAATATTATTTCTTAAAGGGATAAAAGACAAATGAACTTGGATACTTTTTCTTTGACAAGAAATGGATTTGGATACTTCTACATCTTATTTGTCATTAATATTTATTTTTTAAAAAAATATACGATGAGACCATTTACTTATAAGATGGTCACAATTAAACTTAATTTTTGGATATAAATTTGGTTGGTTACATCTATTTCATTGACCAAACACAAAGTTTAAAAGAAATTTTCGTGAAATTTGTGACACACTCAAACTATCAAACTTCACATCGGATGGTTATAAACAATTATGACCTCCTTGTACAATAGGTAAATATTCCCATCTTATATAATCTCTTTATTAAATAGTTGGGAATATTTCCAACAAGTTACCCATTTGCCTAGCTTCTTTCTTTTTTTTAATGAATGCTTGGCCTTCTTCCCTAAAATCAGGGTTTAGAAAATTGGATAAGTGCGTTGAACCAGCCAGTCACCTGTTCTGAGTTTGCTCATTAGTTCTCTAGGGTCTTTTCTGTTGAAAGTAAAAAATAAAAAAATAAAAACTTGGGACCTTAGACCCAAACCGATGCTCCATTGGTTCAGAGCCGGCTCAACAATGACTAAAATACTGTAAAAAACGACTAATTATGTTACATTTAATGAATAAAGCTCAGATGATAATGATGAAACGATCACACAAAAAATTAGTGTTAATATCTCCTGACATGAAACACAAAAAGACAGCATCTACCATCCAAGGCCTAATAGATGGTGCATATGATCCGACAAAGGCGAAATTTCGACAGAGTTCAAAGATCATCTCCACCATCTGTAGTTTTGTACTAAGCCACCAACGGTGGAGATTGCATTTTATATGTTTGTTGTAGGATTGGCCCGACATTAAAAGGAAAATCAATGATGCGCCAAGATTAAACATAAAAACTCACCCATAAATGCCACCACCCAGACCGCCAAGCCCAAGTACACAAAATACACGCTGCACTGTTAAACGTCACATCCACAAAAGAAAACAACATTAATATGCAGAGAGAGACAGAGAGAGAGAGAGAGAGAGAGAGAGGTGGTAGTATCTATTGTAGGTAACTGACTAGTGCGTCCTTACACTAGTTAGAACGTTCTTGTTGTTGCTAGCTGTAGTAGTCTTTATATCTCGTT